CAGACTATCACCGTGGCTATTCCTCGGCTCAATGATCACGGTAAGGTCGTCTCCCTCCTCAACACTGGCTGCAGTAGTCATGCTACTCTTCTCCGATGACAGCATACCAATGTCACTCACCACACCAGTTCTGGCAATGGCCGCAGCCAGCTCCTCGACGTGGTATGGCGAAAACAATAGAGTTCCCGGAGCAAACACCGTCACGTCTCTCTCGGACGCACTCACAGCATTCTTCGCTGCTTCCTCCAGCCATCCACTCATCTTCAAGAAATTCACATCCTCATTGCAGTTCTCTGCCAGATGTTGAACTTTCTTGCTATACGAGGCACCAGCAAGTACCTGCCGCTTCTGCTCTTCAAGGGGAAGAAGATGTGACAACTGCAACCGATCCACCTCATCCAGAAGCTCCTGCTGACGGTTTTCAAGGGCTTTCTTCAGACCACCAAAAACGTCGTTGATCCGGGAGGACACCGTTTCTGTTTCATCACGGAGTCCACTCAGTGCTGCTTCAGACTTCTTGATTGACTCGTCAAAAACACTGCCACTTCCAAGCGATGTGCTGGTCAGCTTGGCTTTCAAGGACTGACGAATGCTAGACGATGCATCAGTGATAGTCTGCACATTGTGAGCAGCATGATCACCACTGCTTACACATGGCTTACACACTAGCTGCTCACAACTCAAGCAATACGAACACTGTACAAACGAGGGGTGGAGTGTGCATTTGTGCTGGCTGGCTGATGTTCTATCACCTGTATGACCCGCAGCCTCACTGAGTGGCACAACCTTGTGTTTGTAAGTCCGGCGGAAAGTTGGGTGAACCTCGGCATGCATGGCACAGAAACTGTCACTGCAATCCATACAAACAGCCACTGCTCCAGTATCCTCAGCACATTCATCACACAACTTTCTGGACTGTGTGCCAGCAGTAGCCTCATTCCCATTACTAGACACATCACTATTTGGTAGGTACTTCAGCAAGGGCACACCAGCCAGTGGTGGTGGTGGAGTAACTGTTCCACATTCAGGACATCCCACAGAGGCCTTGCTACTGATGTATTTTTCCAAACACTCCACACACAATGAGTGTAGACACTTCAGCAGCTTGCCATGCTTACTACTACTTCTGCATGATACACACTCTGGTCTGGACATGGCTGATGAAACAGTTGGGCTGCCTCCAAGACAAAGTTCCCAAATCTAAAACACCGACTGTGCGCCAGAAAGAGACTTTCTGAAAAAAACAAAAATCCGAACAGGAAAACCAGGTACAAAATGCATGCAGTGTGTGTCAGAGACATGCCTTGCTTGTCCCACAGACAGCTTAACACCCCGATTGCAGCACACCGA